TTTTTTGACCTTTTGACCCCTTGCCTGATCACCTAGGTCAAAAATTTTTGCGGATTCGGATTCCTGAGGGTCGAAAACATATTTGCGCCCAGGTTTGATCGACAGAGGAAAAAATGGAGGTTCAGCCTTCATTTCAGTGGACTATTTATGGAAGCTTTTTAGTTACACTCTGTACGATAGTTTGTACAAAATTTCACCTAAGGAAACGGCCCTGTCTCAGATGCAATCACCGTGGCCGCCCCGCACGGCGCGATATCTCTATGTATATTACTCGGCGATGATAAGAGATGCGCGGCGTCTTTGAACAGGAGTCGCTGGCTGTACAAGGAAGCGGTCAGAATATCATAAACTATGACCGGCATGAGCGGCGGCCAGGCACATGCCATGCCTTGTTGGCACGCGCTTCCCAGAATGCGGCTTTGAAGTCGTCGCCGAGGCCGGCACGTCTCCATGTGCAGAGGCTGCGTCGTGCCCATGTCTCCCCCCTTATTAATATTGATGTGTCGCTTCGGAAACGCTTCGGAGTATTTTAATGGGTGGACGATGAGGTATGCGCGGCGACGGCGCGGGATTCATTAAAATTGAAGCTGGACGGCGGACTTCTAAGTTACGATCTGTGATTTTTCGCTTCGGGTTCTTGCTGGGGGCTCAGGGGACCTCGCGGCTAGGATGGCATTGTAGTTGCCTTGTTGGCCGCAAGCCGACCACAGCCGCAGATTTTCTCGAAGTTCCACCACAATCTATCAAGGAACACACATTAGTCTAACCCACGCTTATCACACATCTAAAAGAAGTTTTATTCATTTCTAGTGTTTCTAAACCTAAAAAGTGTTAGCCATATATTTTATATTTAAAAAAATCTTTTGAGTTTGACAGAAATACCAGTTAAATATCAATTGTAACTACAACTCTTTTCAAACGAACTATTCTTGAAATAATGAAAGGAACTGTCTTCTGAATATTACATATACAGGGTGGCCAAATGAAAACGAAACAGAGCCATTTTCAGGAACTGCGTCAAGATTGTAGAAAAACGCTCAGACCCGTCGATTTTAGATTAAAGGGGGACATTCTTTGCTGGTATTTTTGACTCCGCCACTTTCACCCCCAAGCAAAGGTAAGCATCATCCCAAAATATTTAAATGGCATTGGGGGTTGAGTAATATTCCTTTTGAAAGCTCTTACAATTCTCTTTACAACAGACTTTAAATGTTATAATTCCGCCCAATAGTACTTTGAAAAAAAATACATTTTAAAATTTAAATTATGTTGCTTACTTACTACTTAGTTGATTAAATGTTCAAACTGATGACCGCCCTCTTCCATAGAAGAATAAGGATTTTGTTCGAAACGTTCGGGCACATTCCGAAGCATTTCCGGAGTGATTCGACGGCATTCGTCGACGATTCTTTGACGCAAATCTTCCAGCGACGCTGGCTGTGTTTTATAAATTTTACTTTTTAGGTATCCCCACAAAAAGAAATCAAGGGGCGATAAATCCGGTGATCGTGGAGGCCACTCAATACTGACTCTTCTCCCAATCCAATTCCGTAGAAAACGTTGGTATAAATACTGACGGACAATTAACGCATAATAGGGAGGAGCACCTTCCTATTGAAAAATCACATGATCTTCATCAATCATCATACTCTGGAACATTTTCAATAATATCAGTTAAGGCATGGTCAATAGCGTCTTCCAGTAATTTCAAATACATTTGGCCAGTCAAATTACCAGGTAGAAAAAAAGGACCCACCAGCCGGTCTCCGAAAATTCCAGCCCATACATTTAATTTTTCCGGTTGCTGTGTATGCACCTCGTGAAAAACTCTTGGGTTTGAATCGGACCAATAGCGGCAATTATGACGAATTACCGTCCCGTTCAAGAAAAAACTGCATTCATCAGAAAAACAGATGTTAAAAAGGAACTGTGGATCGTTCCCTGCTCCGGTCACTCATTATTTCGCAAAATTGCAAACGGCGGTCACAACCATTCTTATGAAGTTCCTGGACTAAATGTATTTTGTATTTATTCTTCTTCAAAATGGTTTGTATGCTAGTTCGATTGATCCCAGACACAGATGCCAGCTGCCTCGTACTTAATATAGGATCAAGATGAACTTGTCCCAAAACTGCAACTTCACTAGCTTCATTAACTATAGGTTTTTCAATTTCATTTTTTATTGGCTACGTTCCCTGTCTCTTGAAATTTTTTTACTAACTCTAGAACATACTTTCTCCTGACATGTCGATCTTGATATTGTTCATTAAATAGCTGAGCTAATCTATTCGCACATTTATTGTTCAAAAAACACAATTAAATAAACTACCAACCAACGCTTCCAAATAATACTAGAAAATAATTTGGAATCCACTAATTTTACGTCCATTGTGTATGCCAAAAACCAGTGTAACGCAAGAAATACTAAATTTATACCATTGACGTACTTAACTCGAATGACTGACATTTTTACCGTTACTAATTGTTTTTACATACTTACCCTTGCTTGGGGGGGTGAAAGGGCGGAGTCAAAAATACCAACAAAGAATGTCCCCTTTTAATCTAAAATCGACGGACCTGTAGGTTTTTCTACAATCTTGACGCAGTTCCTGACAATGGCTCTGTTTCGTTTTCATTTGGCCACCCTGTATTTACATAAGTATATTTATATTCTCAAAGCTTTTGATGTAACATAGCCCATACCCAATTATTACGCCGAATTTTCAGGGGAATATCAACACGAATGGTGACCAGTATGTGGTGGTTTTTCTCCTTGATCATAACAGCTTGTTACACTGCCAATTTAGCAGCCTTCCTCACCATGGAACGGATGGGTCCAACTATAGAAAGTGCTGAGGATTTGGCAGCTCAGAATAAAATCAAATATGGATGCGTTTCAGGTACGGTATGTAGATAGACTACCTTAATATTGGCTATAAAATAGATACATATTAAAAAATAGGATCATTACAAATTTTTTAGAAATACGTGAAAAATACTAAATAATTTGATTGAATACGGCGAAATAGCAGCCTCTATTATTTAATGGGGTTGCTGACTATTATTGGTCACAAGGTAGTTCTATTTTCCCATTTTTCTCATATTTCGAAGGTGTAATTTGAAATTCCAATTATATTCCGAAATTTCAATTAAATTTTTGGAAAATTTAGTTAAAAATAAGAAATAATTATAATGAGGATATCTGTAGGCATCAGTCTAAACTCCATTTCTTATAAAACAAAGTGCGTTTCAGGAGGGGCTACGGAAGCCTTTTTCAAGGACACCAACTTCTCCACCTACCACCGTATGTGGGTGCAGATGGAATCCGCCGAGCCAACCGTGTTCGAAACGGGCAACCCGGAGGGTGTCAAGCGCGTACTGAACAGTAAGAGGCAATACGCTTTTCTCATGGAGAGCTCCTCCATAGAATACCAAACGGAGAGGAACTGCGAACTGATGCAGGTGGGGAACACGTTGGACTCCAAGGGATACGGCATCGCCATGCCGACTAGTAAGTTTAGGGTCCTTTAAGAGGATCTTAGAAAGATATATGTAGTTGGGAATTAAGATAACAGGCGTTTGCTACATCAAGAGTGAGCAGGGTGGAATACAAGTATTTATAGCCCAATGAATTATTTTCGGAATGTAATATACAGTTTAAATTACTTTTTCGAAAACTGTCATCAAGAATCGACATTTTCGTTAAATTTTCAGTTGATAAAGTGAGTTTTTTTTTTGTCACCTAGCTCTAAAAGACTTATATGTTCTAGAACGCTAAAGTCTTTTTCGTTCTAGAACATAAAACAATGTCAAAATAATTTGTAATTTTTTCGAGACTTATTTATGATTTTATTGATTAATAGACCGGGAGATATTAGACTGAAGTTCGACGACGTCTTTCTCGTTTATGCCTCTGAGAGTACTGAAAGGTAACCGAGACACAAATACAATAAACTAAATTTAAGATGGGCTGCGTTACACCTTTGTGAAAATTCAATTTTTCTTTTCAAAAAAATAATGTGTACAGTGTACAGCGAGGTATTTCTCACTTATGCTATGTTCATAAGTTGAAGGGAAGTATCTATTTTATCACAAAATTTTTTTGGCATAAGTGTCGCAAGGGACCTAAAAATGGAAAACTTTGTAAGAAAATGTGAAAAACATATTTAATTGTCTACCAATTTCTCATTAATGCCAATTAGAAATATGACATTGTTATATTCGAAAAGCTCATAAAAAACCATTAACATAAGTCCTACTAAGGACTGACTGAACATGGCATAAGCGAGAAATGCGTCGCTGTACACATTATTTTTTGCAAAATAAAATTAAATTTTCACATAGATGTCCCGGCGGGCACATCAGTTTTTTCCATAATCTTACTCGTCTCTAATGTATCTTTCAGTACCCTAAAAGGCATAAACGAGAAAGACATCGTTGAACTTCTACGAGTATCTCCCGGTCTATAAACAATATACATTTTAAGTAATATAACATTTCAATACCTACAAAACAGTAACTAAATTGAAAGTGCCGATGTTGCAGTGAGTTAAATTTATGCCAGATCCAGTGCTTTTAGTTCTGGGTGTTCGATGAGGCTGCTGCTGTAATTGTTTAAGTTTACTGCGCACGTTGTATTATTGGCAAGTTCCGTAGGCTCTGCTGAAGATGGTAACAATTTATTTGCGAATGAAATTTTTATTTTGTATAGAATCTTCTATATAATATGTCTTCACTACCGTACTAGAACACCACACCCCATGTCGTTTAATGATGGTAATATCGGACCCTGCGTCGGTTAACAGAGTGGCGGAAGAACTTCTAAATCAGTGCCCTGTATAAGTTTCCGGATGAGACAAATTGAGATGAGTTGCTATTTCTTTTGTTACATTCCTTATTTTGTTGACGGCAACCACTTGGTTAACACATTTTTCTCTGACGTACATCACAAAAAATCTTCGACTTGTAATAAGTACCAGATGTAAAGCACAGTATTTGTAGTATGTCTTCATTTGGTTTGGGCTTGAAATCACAAAACATCTCGGAGTATGAGTTTTAGAATCGGGAATTTTTATAATAATAATTGAATCTTTGTCTTCTATATCATCGATCGTTATCTCTTCTCAAAGCTCCACAAACACCAATTATTAAAATAACCTGAAAAGTTGACTAAAAATTAGTTAAGTCGATCGATTTGTATTAATCTGAATTACCTTTTCTAGCAGAAATCTATTATCAGGTGTTTCTTGTAAAAATCTCACAATTTCCTCTTAGAACTCTGGACTTTTTCGGACAGTATTCAACTGAGTTGCTTTTCAAATATGGTATTAGTTTTGGAAATTTTCTGATATATACATTTTTTGGCATTCAGTGTACTTTTTAACATGGAAATACTGACCATAATGTCGAGGATTTAATTTTATTAATTTTATGTTCGAAGTATGCCGCTTCGGACACTTTTAGAGTTTTTCTTCGAACTACACCACCTTTTGCATTCATTGTAGGCAATCTCGTACTGTCTCGACGATTTTTTGGGGATTAATTGTGAAAGAGCACTTTATGCCCTTCCAATACTTTTCCTGGTAAAGCTCGTCTTCAATTTCCGAGCTCTTTTTGAATTAAACGCTATTAAAATATGAATTACAATATAAGTATAATTCTTTTTTAAGAGACACTTTTTATATGACACTTTTTTCTTTTTTTCGCAAACAACTAATTTTTAATGTTTATTAGATTGCTATAGTTATGATACTCACCGTGCTAAACCATCTTGATTCAACCACGGTTCAAACGATTTCAAATATAAATAAAATTGTTGTATATAACACAATTGTCTTATTTTATTGCAGTTTTCAAAAAAATATTGTTTGCATCTCGAGCGCGAAATGCTTTTGCATTCACGAATGGATATTTTGCCTCACTAAACTCGGCAAAAGTATAATTTCTCGTTCAAGATATAAAAATAGCTATTCTCTGACGTAAAAGTTAGTAAACAATGTTTAATAAACTGAAAAGCAAACAAATATGAGAGCACAAAAAATTTAGAAAGACGAAACACTAATGATGTGCTTCTTTAGAAGCTTGTTACGCTAATTTCAAGGACGTGTTCAAAGGCAGTTAAAAATCCCATAAGATAGATATGGAAAAGTAAGAGTAATAACAGCAAGGGACAAATATTAAATCAGAACATTCTCAAATAAATACAATAAGTGAAAGAAGCATCGACATGAGAATGAGAGCAATTTTTTAAAGTCAGTGACTGTCAGTAACTCTTTGCCACTAGGTAGAAAGTAAAACTTTGTGCCAAATGGTATTTATGGCATATGCTTTGTAGATTATATCTCACTAGTAGTAGTAATTGCACAATTTTTCACAGCAACTTCAAATATGAATTAACATCAAAATGTCAAGTTTGATTTTTAATTTTAGTCACAATTTTGGTGTGAATAGTCCTTACCGAATAGCACACGCCCTTAAATTATTTCGGAAAATTGTTTCTTTACCTCGAAGATAAATTTAATTTCGTTTCCAATTTTCCTCAAGGTTGGAGATATCCTCCGCAAGTGTCGAAATTGGCCCACCTGTTCAGTGCTCATGAAAGAAAATAAATCGGAAATATTACCAGAAGTTTGTATATTTTCATGTCTATATTAAACATCAGAACACTTCCAACTCCCTAAAGACCAATTCCGAGCAGATACTCGATATTAAAAACGACATTTACAATTTTATTGCCACACGGACTCATAAAATCCAATCACACAAAACGACAAATACAATTCGATAGCATTTGTCTCAAATCCGGGAAAGGCTAAACTTGCTGCGGGGAATACATGAAATTTTTATTGAACCGAAATCAATAATTTCCAGCACGAGAATTGCTTTAAGCCCACGGAAAATCCATCGAAAAGGGCGACTGGCTATTAAAGCCAACGTGGTCGAACGTGCAAGACAGATTTAGCTACGTCTTTCATTTTCCCGGACTCGCCCTCATTTCATCATATTTCAAATCTAATTCTGCAGAATCAGTCGAATGGGTAGGTACTAGGAAGATTGTGTACGTGACCTTAGAAGGTTCATTCAATCTATTTTTATGTTGCATTGGTTGAAATATTTCTACCGATTTTATTTAAATTTAGCAGCGAATAGAAACTGTAGTCCATATTGCTATATTAGCTTGTTACTTTGTACAAAGTATTCCTAATGTTAATAATCGAGAATCAAGAAGAGGTAACAGACAATTTATACAACAGCAGCAAGTTATAAATTAAACCAAGTTTTAGAATTAAATTCCCCATAAAATAAAGTAGTAAAAGTCGCCAACGGGTTTAAACACTCTGTCACATTTTAATGGTGCATCATCCCTTATCAACCCTTTAAAATGCTTCAATTGAACTCTACTTACTGTCGATTAATGCTCCTGGTACACTCACCCTGTACCAAATTTGATTCAAGTTCAAGAATAACTGTGTAAGTTGCGGTAAGTCACCATATTGTGGGTTCCCGTACATGCCCTTGCTCTGAGACGGTTCTTATGCGAAACACTGTATAATTATTGTTGTCTTTAAACAACATCATATAATTTATAAATTACTAAAATGTTGGTACCAATGAGCTAAATAGATTTACAACTGATGAATAAATCTCTGTAAAGCAAAGTTCTATACAGGGTGTAACTAAATAAGTGTAAAACATTTAAGGGGGTGATTCCTCATCGAAAAAAAGATAGGATCTTTCATATAAAGAAACTTCATTGGAGCATCCCTTGTTAAGATACAGCCCCTTAAAGGGGGTACATAAAATTTGTTTAACAATTTTTTTCACAAGCACTAAACAAGTTACAATATTGAAATTAACCTGACATTTTCTACTACCAAAAAGACACTTAGCCAGTAATTTATTTGGTTTACCCCATGGTAGTAAGGGGTGGAAAACGCAACCCCTAAAATTTATTTCCAACGTAATTTTTTGTCTTATTATTTTTTTACCATTTAAAAAATTATTTCCGATAGCCTGTTTCATTCTAAAAAAAAATGTCTCTTGAATTTTTTGCCCAAATTAAACCAGTTCGCAGTAAAAAATTATTTTACGAACAACTACAGAGATACATCGTCATAAATGCGGACTGGATTTACTGTTATTTTGTAGTTACTACCTGCATTAAATGATTAAAGGGGAATAATCAAAACTAATTTAATAATAACAAAACATACAACATGTAGAAATCATAGTAAATGTTCAATATGTCTACCTTCAGACATTACGCATGCGTCTAGACGTCGGCGCATTGAGCCACGTATTCGCTCAAATATTCCTGGAGTCTCTCTAATTACCCTGCACGCATCGATAATGCGGTTTCTTAAGTCCTCTACATCGCGAACAGGAGTACGATAAACCAAATGCTGCAAATGGCCCCAAGTAGACAAATCCAGAGGATTGAGATCCGGGGATCGAGCGGGCCAATTCTGTGGTCCTCCTCGACCTATCCACTGATTTGCATATGTTTCAGTTAAATGCTGACGTGCTACTTGACTAAAATGGGCGGGAGCCCCATCATGCATAAAAACCATATCCCTTCTGACGCCCAAAGGAACTTCCTCCAGCAGTACGGGATGCACTTCTCTTAAAAATTGAACGTATGCCTCACCATTTAATCGAGGAGGTAGAAAATGAGGCCCAATTAAATAATCCCCAATAACTCCGACCCACACGTTAAGAGAAAACTGTTCTTGATGGTTAGTTTCGACAATAGCGTGAGGGTTTTCATCAGCCCATATGTGGTAATTATGAAAATTAATAATCTTGTCCCGAGAAAAACTACATTCGTCTGTGAATTCGATCGTCTTCAGAAAGTCACGATTTCTTCTAATCATTTCCAGCATCCAATTGCAAAATTCAAGACGGTTCGGAAAGTCTCGCGGTAACAGTGCCTGTACTCGTTGCAGATGGTAAGGGTATAAGAGATGTTCCTTTAAAATTCGAAATACCGTCATATGATCAACATTTAGCTGGAAAGCAATCTTTCTAGTACTGGTAGTAGGTTGTTCTTCTATCAAATTAAGTACTGCTGCCTCAAGCTGTGGTGTTCTTACTTCTCGATGGCGACCACAATCCTGCGTTCTTTTGTTGAATGAACCATATTCACGTAATCGTTGATGAAGTCAGACAAATATTCTATGTGAAGGATGCTGCCGTTGAGGATACATTTCAGCATATCTTGTAGAAGCTTCTAACCCATTCCCCTGCGACAGACCGTAAACGTAATGCATATCAGCCATTTCCTCATTTGTGTATGCCATTTTAATAACAAGTGAATTATTAAAGTAACAAATTAAGAACAGAACAATACACAATTAGTATTACTTCAATTTCAAAAATTTACAAACTGACAGCTTGATTCCAATTTAATTGTCAGTATCGCTAATGGCGGCCTACTAGATAAATTAGTTTCGTATTTTCGTTTTATGGCGATATGTATCTTGTTCGTAAAATAATTTTTTGCTGCGAACTGGTTTAATTTGGGCAAAAAATTCAAGAGACATTTTTTTTTAGAATGAAACAGGCTATCGGAAATAAATTTTTAAATGGTAAAAAAATAATAAGACAAAAAATTACGTTGGAAATAAATTTTAGGGGTTGCGTTTTCCACCCCTTACAACCATGGGGTAAACCAAATAAATTACTGGCTAAGTGTCTTTTTGGTAGTAGAAAATGTCAGGTTAATTTCAATATTGTAACTTGTTTAGTGCTTGTGAAAAAAATTGTTAAACAAATTTTATGTACCTCCTTTAAGGGGCTGTATCTTAACAAGGGATGCTCCAATGAAGTTTCTTTATATGAAAGATCCTATCTTTTTTTCGATGAGGAATCACCCCCTTAAATGTTTTACACTTATTTAGTTACACCCTGTATATTTAATTCTATTTAATTAAAATGTGTTTCCCGTTTTCAACATTAAGTTTTTACCCACCAAACAGCACGGCGGTAATGACACAAGTCCGCCTTAACCCCAGGGGTCCGCTTTGTAATCGTCCAGATATCCAACATATTTTGAGAGTCAATCCGTAAACCCACTTAAGTTTAAATTTCTGTTATGCTTTCGGGAGAATTTATTAGTCAATCGAGTATGAGACCGTAAGCATTTAACAAAGAAACCATAAAACGTCGGAACTGCTAAAGGAGTTAGGTTCTCCGCAGTAAAAGAACTGCGGGGGTCCAATTGTTTCGTATGCAAAGAGATCCACCGACAGGGTACCAGTGGCGCAGCAGATGGGCAGGTGTCTGGAAATTGAGTCGCGCCGTTTGAAGTCTGTATTACCTGGAGCTTATAGTGACGTTCCTGACAACCAGAAATTGACGTTTGGTCAGTGGTATCACTTAGACATTTTAAAATCGGGTAAATGTGTTAAATATATTAAAATAATCTTTTACAAGTTACAGTAAAGAGTGCCTAAAGGAGTGTAAAAAATTTTGAAAGCAGGGAAATAAGAAAAAACTGTTCATAGTTTCATTTTTTTAGCAGCACTTTTACGGTAGATACTAAAATTTTGTTAAAAATTGTAACATAACAAATTGTGTGGAAAGGTTAATCTTATTTTCAATAAAATTGCACCGTTTTTGAGAAAACTCTTAATGATAGGCATATTAAACTATAAACTATACTAATTCAGTTTTAACTAGCTTGAAAGAGAAAAATATTTTCTGTTAATATTTTTTATTCATATTTTATTTATTTATTTATTTTATTTATAAGCTTTAAAGACAAGTACAAAGTGAAATAAATGTATCCCTGTTTCTTCGATTTACAAACATATACGGAAACTTAAATTTGAATTTTAGGTGTACTCAATATTTATTTTCTGTGCTTGCTTCATAACGGAGTAAATCCTGAACAAGAGTCACAGTAGCGAGTAGGCGTCCTCTACACAACTACGCTTTTAGAACAAAAACGGTGTATATTGGAGCAATATATCAAACGAAAGTAGCACTGCTCTTGCCCACTTGGAAAAGGAAATAGAAATTTAAGAAATAGGAAATAAATCAAAATTGATTTAGGTTTCGGTCGGCAACAAATTTTTCAACATACCCCGAAAAAAATAGGGATTATAACTTACTCCTAAAACTAAACAGACAGAGGAAAGATTATTTTTAACAATGAATCTTTAACAATTTAGGTCTCATTTGCGTTATTAAAAAAAATCAGTGTAAAATTGTTTTTAAAACATGTTTATACAGGATGATTCCAAAGCTGTGTTATTTTCTTACAGTTTAGAATTAGTCAATACAAGAACTTTTTCAAATTTTATTGTAACTCTAAAAGTCGATCGCTACATATTCAACACAAAAGGTACAAAAACTTAATGTGTATTCCTGTTTTTATTGTTTTTATTTTATTCTTGTATGTTCCTGTAAGGTTTATGGTGAATATTAACCACGGATTTCGGATTTAATAATTCATAACTTTACCACAAATATTTCTCTAGTTCCGAGCAAATTTCAAATTTTCGCTTAACTTTCTAATCGGAACTACGTTTGATATACTGCTAACTTTTAAATTTAAAATTTATGTTACTGTTTTTACACTATTTTTTTTAAGAAAAACTTGTTTTTCAGATGCACGCTACAGGAAGGCCATAAACGAGGTGATCCTGAGGCTTCAAGAAATGGGATTTCTTCTAAAACTAAAAAACAGATGGTGGAAAGAAAAAAATGGAGGCGGTCAGTGCAAGGTAAGAAATGTTTCTATCTATGTAACTGCCAAGCTATTACGAGTATTTCTTCTGTATTTAACTAAGGAGCTATAGGCACTATTTAAAAAAGTTTCGATGTGTTATACAGAAAAAATAATAATTATGATGTTCCTTGAACAATTTTAAAATTAAATATGTAGTCTGCCAAGAAAAATAAGATAACTCGGTTGAGGTAATCACGTTTGTAACTCAATTTATTCATCATTCATACAAACTGATATCTGCTGCGTAGAATGTAACACTTGGTAACAAGGGAATGTTTTGAACACCAGCTACAAATTAATTCGAATATATTCAATGTGACAAACAATTGTCTCCAACTGAAGTCTGATCATTGGAAGAGACGTGAAAGATGTAACACATACATATATTTAAAAAAGAGCACAGCTAGCAATACCTAGCAAATTAAATAAAAGATTTCTCGCAGCAAAAATTTGAATTGCAAATCTAAAGCGAGTGCAGTATTTCACATTTTTATCTCCTTAATCTCTATCCTAGATAGAGGCGTGGTTAAATTGAAACGATTATATTTAACAATAGACCAGCACACAATGGCAGACCAGGTAAGCTGCTAACCCTAATAGGTTAAGAAAACCTTTCGACATTATTGAATTAGCAACCCGCAATAATGCGGGATAATAAATGTAGATGATCGGATGAAGATAATTCGGTTAATGCTCCCTAAGAAGCATCCCTTAATACCAATATTTCCAAAGCGTAGCGTAATCCTTCATTGACAAGGTGCAGTGCAAGTGTTCAGAACATCGTCTTAGAATAGTATAGTGTACTCGTACTTCTGCCTCATGAGTTTGTCTACACTTCTTCCCCTTAGTGTTTATAACGAGCGTTCAAATAAAAACGTAGTCAAGTTGGTTCTGAAAATTTGGACTTAGGGCGTAGCGTATAGCAAATGAACTTAAACGTCATCTGTCAAAGCGCTATATCGCCGCTATCAATTTGAATATTTTCGTTTTAAAAAGCGTTTAAAATGGTGTTTTCTCAAGAACAAAAAGTGTTTATCATAGAGTCCTACTTTAGAAATGGACGCAAGATTGATGGAATATGGAAGTATTCTATTGAGGAATGTTTCATAGAATTTCAAAATCAATTTCCCGGCGTTGTTGAGTACAAAATTTTTCAAAGTGCAGTTCAGCGTTGTGTTAATGTTTTTCGTGAAACGGGCAGTGTAACAAGAAAAGAAGGAAGCGGCCGACCTAAAAAGCGGACTGAAGAATTAAAAGAAAATGTCCAACAAATAATGGAAAATGCGCCAAGAACTTCTGTACGTGTTTTATCACAAATGGTGGGAGTATCAGTCGGTACCTGCCACACAGTGTTAAAAAAAGATTTGCGTTTGTTCTCCTATCGTTTAACTTGTCAGCAAGAACTTCATGAAGTTGATTTTCCGCGACGGGCTGTATTTTGTGAATGGTTTTTAAACAACTACGGTGAACTTCATAATATCACCTTTTTTTCTGATGAAGCCTGGTTTCATTTAAGTGGTTACGTAAACTCACAGAATATGAGAATGTGGTCTTCTGAAAAACCAGATAACTTTTTTGTCGAGGGCCCTCTACACGCTCAAAAAATTGGAGTTTGGTGTGCTCTCAATCGAAGGAGGATTTATGGACCTATTTTTTTTAATGGTACTCTTACTGCGCAAAGGTATAGAGAAGAAATTATCGCTCCTTTTGTTAACCAGCTGGAAGAAAACGAAATTACAAACTTTTACTTTCAACAAGATGGCGCAAGGGCACATACGGCAGGCGAGACGATGAATATGTTGAGGGAAGTTTTCCAAAATCGACTAATAAGTCTCAATGCTGAACATGAATTTCCACCGAGGTCATGTGATATTACGCCGTGTGATTTCTTTTTGTGGCCTTACCTTAAAAACACTATTTTTGAACTGCCTATTCCTGATTTAAACCATCTGCAGGCTCGACTTATAGACAAGATTCGTGAAATTAACAATACCCCGAGCATCTTAGAAAATGTCTTTAATTCTTTGAGGAACAGGTGTGAAAAGTGCTTGGAACAAGGAGGGGGACACTTTCAGCAGCTGCTTTAATTTATTGTTATAACAAGGAGGGGGACACTTTCCGCAGCTCCTTTAATTGTTTGTTATTGTTATCACGATTATTCTTTAAAATAAAGTTATATAGTCATTAACGTTATTGAAACTGACAGCTGCTATACAGCAGCTTGAGAAATGAGGCTAAGTTGGTCGCTATAAGCTACTCCCTACGTCCAATGTGTCAGAGCCAACTTCGACCACGTTTTTATTTGAACGCTCGTTATTATGTAATGTATTATCTTTTCTTTATCCAACCCATATATGATTTCAATTCATTCTTTCCTTGCGTGTTATTAATATTGTTGTTATCTAATTTCCATTAATGACTTGCATCCATCTATATGAGTGTGATTTTCGTTGCTTAACCCATGAGTTAATTTTTCAATTTCCTCGCTTGATTAAAGATCAAACATCATCCTTTATATGTGTTCTTTGAACAAGTGTTACAAATCTTACGTCACTTGGTGTATAGCGAAAACGATTCGACGCATTTTGCTTACATTCAACGTACTCGTCTATCAATCCATCAATTCGAGATTAGTACAATTATGCGTCATCGTAATAAAACATTGACAACTAATAATAACGACTGTTGAAAGCGCGCTCTGCTTTGATATTAGAATGAAAGCACAAAACAAACATTTAGTAAATGAATATGTTGGTAAATGACGGATGCTTCTTTTTAGGAGGACAAACATTCCGATGAGGAGGCGGCCACGGAGCTGGGGTTGGACCACGTGGGTGGCGTGTTCGTGGTACTAGCCGCCGGTGTTTGCATAGCACTCGTCATCGCCGTCTGCGAGTTCCTGTGGAGTGTGCGGAAAGTCGTCGTTGTCGAGCACGTAAGTACACAGTTACGTAACTGTTTCTAGGAAAACTAGGTCTGCGGCGAAGAAGGATCCTCTTTGAAGCGATCGAAAAGCGACCATGGCCACCTCCGTTTTCAAACAAACCATTTTTTTCTTTAATTAAATACTAATTAGATCAAAAAAGCGCTACCTGGAAGAAGCTGCTTCAATAGACAAGGGTAGAATGTGTATGACTCTAGTTGATCTACAAAATCTGACTGAATTTTGTGCTGTCATTGATGAAGTCATATAGATTGTCTCTACTTATAGTATACAGTGTACAGAAAAAAAGTTACGTTAATAATAAAATTACATTTCTAAATTTGTATATTTAAAATAATTGACAACGCGCTTTACAAAAACCGCACAGAAGAAATTCGCAGGGAAACGCTTCCTGCCTGCAAATCTCCCCCGCTGGGAATTATCGATGCTAATCAGAGCCGCGTCTGACCGGCATAAAAATTACCTGTGCCTTGCGCGAGACCGTAAATGAACAAAAATAGAGTTTTTCAGATCATTTCGTTAATTAAAAATTCGGAACGCGTCACTCCCGCACAAATTCGATGTATAATTTAGCTCCCAATTAAAACGAATTTCACTCCAGACTCCGCTGGGAGAAGGTCCTATGTATTTTTAAAATGGTCAAGAGTGAATGGGGTAGTGCAATAAGTGAAGGTATTTAACGCAGGAACCGAGAAATTATCAAAATACTGACTGTTTTAACATCCCCTACTTGCCTACTTGAATAGAACTAGTGTTTATGCAGAAATTTACGAGGATGAATTATCAATAAAACGCACATAAAACGTGGATTTCAAGTTATATGGTGTCTTTCCTCAAATTTAGGACTGCTTGTCTCTGTAAAACTTTGTCCATTAGAATACACTGCAATCGAACTTTAAACAAAACCCTGTTCTACTTGCTATAGTCAATTCACGTCCTCATTTAAGTTTTATATACAAAGAAATGTGTTATTGGATGGCACAGTTCCTTTTCAAAGTTTCATTTTCAATCAAACTTGGAATACTTTACTGAAAATAGCATCATCGCTTTCTTCTCGGCAATACCAAATGAAATTACATATATTACATATATTATATTTAAAGATAATGTTTGTAGTTATAAAAAACTGATGCTGAAAAAATTTTGACATTAAGCAAAAAGTGCACTGCAAAGTTAAAACAAAAGTCAAATGTTTTAAGTTTTTTAAAAGTAGAGAGTAGAGTATTTTGTCGTCACAGATTGAAACTTAAATATATTCCTATATTTTAACTTTTTAAATTCATCCATATACGTACTTTAATTTTTTATATGCATACTAACAAATTGCGAATTTGCCAAGTCATATGTCAAGAAAATTATTTAGGATATGACCTCGATGTTGTAGTTTTATATTGTATATAAGTAAAATTTAATTTCCATGCATTGTGATGAATTCTAGTTGACAAAATAAGTAACTTTAAAAGGAAAATGAAATCTTAAACCAATAATTTTATAGTAAAGGAAATCCTAAATAGTTGACAGTCCAAAATTGCGCTATATAAAAAGCAAATCTGTTAACTTATTCAAAAAATAATTATAACAAAAAATCTCTTTCCGAGTCATTGAAAAATAAAGTACCGTTAAAAGTTGAACAATTTTGGAGAATATAAAATATTTTTATATGCTCTATATGCTTTATATTTTTAGGGAAATGTTATATTTTATGTAAAAGTACCTGAATTCACTATTTGTAGTAACTTGTAGATATAATTGTTGTACAAAGGCTATGGACAACCTTGTTTTATTTACAACATAAACTGATTAACTATGACATAAACAAAAATTGGCACACCATTTTTTTATTTTTACTTTCTATTATGTTTTGTTTACGAAGTAGTTGTTTAGGTCGTGCAGCAACATATTCATGCCATATTGATTTATCTATATCCTAAATATTTTGTAAAATTAGTTTTTTAAATAGCTGTGTAGGGCCAACTGTATTATCACTGAGTTCATTTGTAACATTGCATTGGGGTAAATTAGAGACCCTTTTAATTCACAATCAGTATAAACGTTTATTTTTTCTATTTCTACTAGTTTCGGCTATTATGCCATCATTAGGAAAAAAGGAAAGTAAACGAATGAAATTTAGGTCAAAAAATTGTTTATTCCTAATTTGTCATGATGACTTGAAAAAAAATTTACATTTTAATTTTCACACAAACATTGTGTAATTTACTAGTACTTCTATTCAAGTAATCCTTATCCAATGATGATGGCTAAAATGCCAAAACTAGTGGAAAATGAAAATACATCAATGTAATTAAAATTCTAAAAGTTATATTATCTTCACCGCGTACGGAATTATTGCAACTTTTCAGTAAAAATATTGTTTTTTTTTTAGTTAACCCTTAAAGAAGCATTCCACAAAGAATTGAGGTTTGCCTTGGACATTTGGGCAAGAAAAAAGGCTACATTTTGCCCACCATCCATAGAAAAGTCATTTAGGTGATTGGATCAGTAATTACTGTCACAGTTTTATACATAAGTAATTAGAAAATAAATCGGTGCCGTTTTGAAATGTGTACACTCAATAAATCCTTCCTAAACCCATTTCTGAAAACGAATTTTGTTAAAGTTTGCTATACTACTTTCGAGTGATGGATAGTTATGGTTTCATAAGTGTCTAATCCTCATAAATTTTTCAAATACTAAAACAAATTATTGAAATATAGACAGTGCACTCGGTATACTTTATCACATTGAACTTTTAAAAAATGCACGCTTACAAATTTTGTTCTATGTAAAACTCCACAATTTTTCCAGTGTGAATCTAAATAAATGTGAATAAAGCCAAGTTAGCAAATTTATTTAAAGTGCCAACTTACTCTTATAATTTTCGGCACCTTCAAACGAATACCACACCATCCCACTTATCCGAACAAGAAAAAAATCCACTTAATTTCGATTTAATTTATTGCGAGGTTGTTTACATACGGAGGCATTTTGGCGAAATCTGAAAAATGTCTAGCCCACTTTTACGGATACTTAAGGTGATTAAAGCGACTACCGAATCTTGCCGAATTATGGCAACGACAAACTTAATCGCTTTCGGTAGCTGCTAATGGATCCTTATCTCTTTAAAGACCACATAGTTATTCTTTTTGAGTACAGCAAAGATAAGATACACTAAACAGTTTTGACTTCTGTCTGCTGCCAACCGGCTACCGTTGGCCTGTTGAGTTCCTAGTGGCTTATCGGCCGCGTATCTACAGGGTGACTCGTAAGTCATAAGTCAGAATAAAATGAGGCAACATTAAAATGCAGGGTAAGGTCAGTGATTATCGAATATTGATTTTTTTACTTTTAGGTATATTAGATCGTCAGTGTTTAAAGCGCAGTATATATACAAGACGTGTTTTTGAAAGTCCTTTGTCATGCAGCTTTTGAGAAAAATGTGCAGAACTGCAAGTGTTACAAACATTCCGATGCGCCGAACTCAACTCCCTCGAGCTCTGAAACGCTTCGATTACACGCTGGAGCATTTGCATTCCTCAGACATAATTCTGGTCCTCGTTTCCTCTGGCAAATGCCCTTCGGAAACCGAAATCTCTATCGAAGAGTAGCCGCTACTGAGCGAGCATGAAATTGTGCATTATCGCACAATCATCCGCAGCAGTTCCAGACTGACCCACTCGACAATTGTCGGCGAGATCACAAGCCGGCTCTTGTTTACGGAAATGGTGATGCTCACTTACCATCCTGCTGTAATAATCGTGCACTTTGATACTTCAGGGGACGGGGAATCAAGCTGATACGCCCTGCCGTCATCGTAAGCTACAGTGGAGTTCCATTCCAGTTTGGTTGTGTCTTCCACTTAAACGTATATTTAGAAAAAAAATTAACGTATGTACCATATACAGGTCCAGTTCTAAGTCCATATCATAACTTTAGAATCATTTTAAACAAAACAATCGTAAGAAACTAAGGACCTAAAACTATTGATTTTCGAAATACAGAATATTGTATAATAATGGACATGTTTTCCAATCAAGTCTTTTTTTGTAATGCTCTGTTACCCACATCATCAATAAGTAAGTACAATTAATTAAATCTTTCAAAATCTCTCATTGGCAAGAACTACATGGACATCCAATTGAGACTTCTTGCGGAACATAATAAAAAATGACTGTAATTAAAAAAAAAAAAGGAAAACATTCCAATCGCTTTGGCAAACTGATAAATATACACGATTTTATGTTTAAAAAATAAAAGTTTGGTTTATATCAAAAAGCAGTCTATATTTTTTTTCATTTCCTAATATTTTAACCTTTACCATTTTTTTCCTAGATGGAAACGTAAAAAAGGTAAAGAGTATAGAATGTTATGTGGATGACCCTGTACAATTTAGGGTGGGTCAAAAAAATCGACTATTTTTTTTANTATCACCGCAGACAGTAGTTTCGTTGTCACCCAGTATAGGCAGTATATTAATTTTTTTGATGTAGAGGAGGGCCCCTTGAAAAAAATTGCGGGGGGGCCCCCGAAGACCTTGGCACGCCACTGCCTGCCGTCATCGTAAGCTACAGTGGAGTTCCATTCCAGTTTGGTTGTGTCTTCCACTTAAACGTATATTTAGAAAAAAAATTAACGTATGTACCATATACAGGTCCAGTTCTAAGTCCATATCATAACTTTAGAATCATTTTAAACAAAACAATCGTAAGAAACTAAGGACCTAAAACTATTGATTTTCGAAATACAGAATATTGTATAATAATGGACATGTTTTCCAATCAAGTCTTTTTTTGTAATGCTCTGTTACCCACATCATCAATAAGTAAGTACAATTAATTAAATCTTTCAAAATCTCTCATTGGCAAGAACTACATGGACATCCAATTGAGACTTCTTGCGGAACATAATAAAAAATGACTGTAATTAAAAAAAAAAAAGGAAAACATTCCAATCGCTTTGGCAAACTGATAAATATACACGATTTTATGTTTAAAAAATAAAAGTTTGGTTTATATCAAAAAGCAGTCAATATTTTTTTTCATTTCCTAATATTTTAACCTTTACCAGTTTTTTCCTAGATGGAAACGTAAAAAAGGTAAAGAGTATAGAATGTTATGTGGATGACCCTGTACAATTTAGGGTGGGTCAAAAAAATCGACTATTTTTTTTAATTACTTTATACTCTGAAAAATAGGTTGCTAGACACCTCTCCAAATTCTCTCCAAATATGAGCTCTTAATTTTAATAGGAAGGTTCTCCGCTTTACAGTTTTCCATTTTTTCCTCAGTATTAAAAAAAAATTCATATCTCTCTATCAACTGTTCGTTAAAAAAATCTCTCATATACTTGTAGGAAATGGAACGCTCTACAAAAAAGGTCTCTTACAATTTCTTCGTAAACCTCACCGTTTAAAAGATATTAAAGGTTGAAGTTTGTTTATTTTAAGACAAATTTCAGTTTTGCTTATGAATTTTTTAACTCGTTAACAAAAAATTATTATGAAATGCGCAATGCATAGTTTTGTAGGAAATTAACTGCTCTACAAAAATGGTCTCTTATGATTAGTCGATTAAATAAAGCGTTTAAAAGATATTCATCGTCAATCTTCAATGCACGCCAATTTGGACAGTTTTTGATTAATAATTCGGAAAATTTCAATTTAGTTTATGAGTTTCAGGGAAATTTATACAAATTTGAGTTTCTATGAACAGAGAAATGTTTTAAACTATTTTTCTAGTTTTTTTTAGTCGTAAGCATGATTGTTTGTTCGAAAAAAAATTTGTGCATTATTTCTGACTGAGTCAATGATTCATTAAATCTTGAAAAAATAACGTTTTTGTTAGAAATTTATTATGAAAAGTATTAATCTTAAAGAAAAAAAAATGTTCAATTTGTTATTAAAAAGTTTTTTTATTTAATTATTAAGTTTTTTCAAATTTCAAACATTTATAAAATATTCGTACACTTTCCTTTTAAAAATTTTCTTTATTGCAGTTCGGGTATTTTTTGCGATGTTCTTTTACAATTTGCAATAAAAATTGAAATTGCTCTTCATTTTTTGTCAAGCATTGATTATATTCACTTACTAATACGACTATCTGACCACGTATACGAGATCATGAGTTTTAGAAACATTGAAAATGCGGTACGAACTGTACACAGGGTAGGAAAGTACCGATGGTCTATCTGAAGTTACGTGAGAGCGATAAAGTAAGCCATATAAATCCATGCGATAGAGAAGGATAGCTATAATGAAGGCATCTCTTAGTCACCGCCCGTTTCGCCCTTCCACAAATAAGATCCACTTCTTATTTGTGGAAGGGCGAAATGGGCGTTGACTATTAGACGCCTTCATTATAGCCATCCTTGTCTATCACATGGATTTCTAGGGCTTACTTTATCGCTCTCACGTAACTTCTGATAGACCATCTGTACTTTCCTACACTGTAGATACTAAAGATAAGTTGAGAATAAAAAACATAGATGGCGTTAGTTTCACAAGACAAACAGAAGAAGTTGAATGAAATTCAAAACAAAAATCCCCTGGTACGAAAAATTGTATGTATATTTTGTGGAAAAAAGTTTTGAAATACGTTCTGAACATACGCATTCAAAAAAAAATAACACGATCGGGATTTTAAATTATTAGAGATAAAATTTATAAAAATTTGATCAGAATAAAAGTTTCAATAAATTTTCGAGCAAAGAACTTCTCTATATCTAATAGTTACTTTTACGATAGAAACTCAAATTTGTATAAATTTCTCTGAAACTCGTAAACTAAATTGAAATTTTCCGAATTATTAATCAACTGTTAAAATTGGCTTGCATTGAAGTTTGACGATGAATATCTTTTAAACGCTTTATTTAATCGACTAATCATTAAGAGACCATTTTTGTAGAGCAGTTAATTTCCTATAAAACTATAAATTGCGCATTTCATAATGATTTTTTGTTAACGAATTATAAAATTCATAAGCAAAACAGAAATTTGTCTTGAAATACTCAAACTTCAACCTTTAATATCTTTTAAACGGAGATATTTTTAACGAACAGTTGATAGAAATATATGATTTATTTTTTTTTTTAATACTGAGAAAGAGATGGAAAACTGTAAAGCGGAGAACCTTCCTATTAAAATTAAGAGCTCATATTTGGAGAGAATTTGGTAGAGGTGTCTAGCAACCTATTTTTCAGAGTATAAAGTAAAAAAATAGTCGACTATTTTGACCCACCCTACTGTACATACACGTTCTAAACTTTCCGTTAAAATCTGTCGCAAAAAAAAACATGACAGAAAGAAGTATACCTGTAATTTATTACATCTCCTGTGGAGAAAGGATTTCACGCCGCCATGTTTTTGGGGGAGTTAATTAAAAGTTGCTCGTACTGGATCTCATACCACTCCAGGCATTTTATTAAGGAATGAAATCGTGAGAAATTTTCCAAGAAAATAACAGCCAGTTGGGAGAAAACTCATCATTGTGATGTATACGTCTGGATCTATCCTCT